GCAGAGGGCGAAGTTTTCTGGTCAGCTTTATCCAAAATCACAACAACGGAAATACAACAAACCGAACAATTATTGTTTCATCAAATACTGATTTCAATATAACAGTTGCACTGCCAGAGAGTCAAAGTTCAAATCTGATATCTATTTCTAGTCATGGAAGTAATACAGCAACAGTCAAGAAATTAAATGTACACTACTCTTTGGTTCCATCCTACTCTGCCATTGAATCTAAAGGTTTTATCATAAACACCTCCGTGACGTCATCGGTACTATCCTTGTCCGAATATCGTTTGTCATCAGACACGACAACAGTGTTTCCCATGGACAAGCTTTCTACGAACTATATCATATCAACAGCGACACCGTCGGGTAGCAATTTAGACACCGGAAGTCATTTCACTGTTGCTTCAATGAAAGACAACACTCATGTCAGTATAGAGTTTGTAGCTGATCATGACACAACGATACTGCTTCAGGGAAGAAGTTACAAAAGAGGAGACACATTTAATATCATTTTAAACCGGTTTCAAACTTTCCAAATCGGACATAAGGCAGATATGACGGGCACTACGATCCGTTCTTCCAATCCGGTTGCAGTCTTTGCAGGAAATAGGTGCAATACTGTGGGATACCATGGGTACTGCAGTATGCTCATGGAAATGGTCCCACCAATTGAAAAATTAGACAATGTATTCATCGTACCCCCAAATATCCACAGATTTCAATCGAATATACGCATTGTGTCGGCAGTGAAAACTGATATTAAATATAGCACCAAGGAAACATCTACGAAGACATTTCTTTTGAAAAATCGGTTTGCTGAATTCCTTGTTCGCGAAGACGAAATAGGTGTCATAATTTCTACCAAATCTGTATCAGTAAACAGTATTGCATTGTCTTCAACCGAGGCTAAAAAATATGGCGATACATTCATGGTCACAATTCCTGGAATTAATCAGTATCTCAACACGTACACCAATTTCGTGCCTACAGGATATAATTTTAGCTCCGCTACTTTTATGGTAAAAAATGAATCTCTTAGAAATCTTCAAATCAACGGAACAAATATCAACGTAGAGAGCTGTCTTTTTAACTCCTCTGTTTCAGTAGGAAGGGATCTTTACATCGTTTGTACCGTAAGTGTTCCAAGTGGAGCTATAGACGTACAGACCTCTGATGGGTCTCGGTTTGGTTTTATCGTTACTGGTCAACGCAAACACGATGGTCATGGTTACACTGGAAACGCACTGTTAACCTCTGACTGTGAGCTATAACAACATGAATAAAATTTTCCGAATTAATGAGTAATTTCCCTTGAAGAACTGAAGGCTGTGAAGAAGGCTACAGTTTAAAATAATAAAAGATCATGCTTAAGACGATTTAACAAGGCACTGGCATACGAATTCTTTGGACTTATGGGGGGATAAAAATAGAAAAATGTTTGGATAAAAAGGCAACCTACACAAATAATATCGTACAAAATAGACAACAGATTATTTGTAATTCTGCAAAACATACGAGTGTTGTTCGAACAGTCCGTGGACCATGTCAATCCTCGTTATACTATCCTCATTTTTTTTTTACAAATACACAACTTTTACATTTTGTAGTATGACCCAATAACAGTGCACTTTTTAATGACGTTTCTGTCACATTTGAAATATATTTTTTAAATATTCATTCAAGTAGCATAATTTTTTTTTTCAATCTTATGCCTTCACAAAATTAAATTCAACAACTTTGCAGTGCCTTATCTCTTAACATGCATTAACCAATTTCTGAAAGAGTTCGATATTTAAAAAAAAATATTTTGTTTCCTTATTGGATATACTCATCTGATAAAGAGTCTCTATCATCCAAATACTGTCTGTACATGTATCATTAACGCACACATGCACGACATGCTTTTAACATACTTCCCACTTCTTATGTACATTTTGAGAGTTTTTTTCTGGATTTTTTAAGAGTCCAACATAAAACTGTATCGTTCAAAACTGTATAAAACAATGTACAATATTAAACTTAAACGTTTAAGATTTTCACGTATTGTGAAATTATATAGAGGATATGAAAACAGACAATATTTAGTGTATTGCCTATAAATTACTAATATTTACCTGCTCTGGGTTCCGATGTTTGCATTTTCATACTTATAATAATTCTATTTTCATTTTTATTGAACACTGAATGTTAGTAGGTATGTAATTAGTAATTTTATTATCAATTTTGTAATTCATGTATTACAGTTTTTAAAAAAATTAATTTGTTTTTGTTTCTCATGCGTTTATATCCTAAGCTTACTTCGTTTTTTATGATTTAAAATATGAAAATGTATAAGGTCTCTGTCAACTTTTTTGTCATAAAAAATAACCATAATTTGTTTAAGCTTCTAAATCTAATGATACAGTGTACTGAGCTGTATTATTTCAAAGCTAAAAAAACCGCCCAATCGAATTCGAATTTTCGATTTAGGATGGAATGTACAAAACCCAGCAGGTTTGGTACACTTGGATGTTAGTAAAAAAAGTCTCGACAAACACTAGCTAAATTTTTCCAGTGAAAACATGCTAAAAATCACGCAAATGACGCGTACGTGCGCGTTTGAGAGTAAAATAGACGTAAAGTGGCGAAGCTCGCGGCCCAAATTAGAGAAGAGGGTTTCTGTCAATTTAGGATGACAAAAATGAATATGATTGTCTGCTGTATAAATATCAGTTTCAGTGATAACGCTTTGACAATAACCGAGGTGACATGATGAAAAATTCTATCTTGTTGTGACGTTGTTACGCACCAACGTCGACGCCATGGTTGGTTTGAAACATTTTAAGTTAACTCGCTGACAACCAAAAAAACTTTAATTTGGTTAAAAAGTTGAAAACAATCTGTACAGCAGCATGTTTTTGCCTTTTTATTCACTTATGCAATATTGAATTCAATTACTAAAACCCACAGTAGCTTCCTTCAGCCAGAACACGATTGCAAGAAATTTATACTGACTGCAAATATGCAAAAACGATTTCTAGAACTCTAATGCATCGTATGGCACTACAAAATTTTATCACAAAATTATCATCATCAAAATGCACGTGTTTTTGACTTTTTATCATTTTCCCTACGTGACGCCATAAATTTCATGGTTGAGTAGTTTTGACTAGCGATTTTAGTGCAAAGTAACCAAAATACACATCTGACCAATTTTCATATTTTTCGGCCACATAGTCAAAATATTTTCCCGTTTGATGTTCTTATGCGTTTCTTTTTCCTTTCAGTATATATTCATAATGTATTTCTTTCTCAAATGCGGGAGTTATCGCTCTTGTGATATACTCCAGCTTATTTTCAATAGCATCTTCTTATATGTTAAGTTATCTGAATGCTGCAAGATAGAACCAATAGAAGCCTTCAGCGGGAAACTGAACGTGACTGTTCTCTTTTGAGATAGCGTGGGTCGTCATTTTCTTTCAGGACGCCATTTTATTTTAACTTTGTATTTATTGATTCTAACAAAAGCGAAGCTGACGATAGATATAATGACGACCTCGGCCTCCAAGCGACACACAACATTTTTTTGAAGGTGTCGGAGGTCGCACGATATTAGGCATTCTCCGTGAGGATGCAAAGAATTCAATCCACAAAATGCCTTATTTGGCCTAGCAAATATGTAAATTTTGAAGAGGGCATTAGAAAATATGTTTTGGGTTATTATCAACCTAGAACATTAACACATTTCACATGTGCAACAATTTCGTCAAAACCGGATGTTAAGATGTCAAACTAACTTCTAAAACGCAGCATGGTTCGAGTTTTTCCGGAAAATTGCTCAAATGTTACACAATAAATCGTGAATTTCACATAGAGCACAGTCGTTACCGCAAAATATTGAAACAGAAAAATAATTATAACTGTTCGACAAATAATTTCCAATGAAAATATTTTGCGGTAACGAGTGTGCTCATGGTGAAAAAAAATAAAATAAAATGTCAACGCGTGTAAAAATGCTATGATCATGAACCACCATATTTGTCTTTGTCTTTTATACAAACTTTAAAGGATCAATTAGAAAGGTTTATAATATTGATTATGTAAGTGGATAGACACTCATATCACACAAGTAAGAAAATGTCAACTGAGTCACCTATAGACACGTCTGGCTACTGGAATAAATATGATGGCTTCAGTCTAAAAACATATCCGTTAAAAATGCCGATTTATCGACAGTTCTTTTTCCAAAATTAGATTGATTTACAGACAAGTACAACTTTCAACTTACTATATGTTTGACTATCGCAAATATAAACTTTCATGTCAATTATTATGTTATTATGTTTGTTTACGAGTATAAGAAATTAGAGTTAAATCTAAACTTTGTTATCAAGAATCGGTAATTTTTTTAGAGAGACAGTCAGTGGTTTATTGGTAGGTCATAGGACATCAAATAAATAGATAACACACATGGTGATAGAAAAAAAGCAGTCAATTGTTCAAAGAAGGCAATAAATGTGGCAAAGAATTTAAAAATTACATTTCTGAAATCAAAGGAAAACAAACTTATGAGTTCACAGTTGTACATGACGTTACTCGGTGTACGTCATTTGTGACGTCATAATAGACGCAGTCATTGGGAATCAGTGGCAGGGAGAAATGGGGGAAATTCTTTTTTTTTTTTTTTAAAGATATACATGTAGTTTTCTGTCGCTTTGTTAAATTCATTTAATTGAAACGGGAAATTATCTATTATTAAAAAATTTAACAACTCTGTGAACTGGATTCAACGTAGAACTCGTGTGTGTGTTTACATAAAATGCACATGTTCGCTTTAACAAATCCCCACGTCGATGCATACAATACATATATTTGTATAAGTATCACATGTAGCAGCAATATATATTAATCGTTTTTTTTTTTATTTCAAAACCTAAAAATCATTCATTTCACTACATAAAACCCGCGTAGATAATTTTTATGCACTTGCATAACGTGAAAAATAATTTTTAGCTTTCTTCAAAAGTATTATGAAGAAGTGGTTTGTTTCAATTTTGTTTTCAGAAACATGAGCTGAATTTAAAATATATGACCCTAGATAGTGTTTATTATTATTTATAAAAGAACATCAAATCAAAGATCCTTCTTTGGCCACTATAGTGTTTCTCATATCAAATATTGATTATTCTGTATTTTAATTTTTTTGCGTGTAGATCAACATTCAAAATAGCCCCTGCATTGTTATGGCTTAGGGTGGGGGGAAAGGTGGAGTAGGGGGACTATGTCTTGCTCTGCATTAAATATCTGAAAATCGCTTGATCCGCTACCACGAAGATTTGTAGTTTATCACTATACGATTAGAAGAGGTCACGGGTGGGGGGGGTTTCCATGTTTTGACATAAATTATACGTTCATTACATACAATTATATGAGCATTATAAATGTTGTCAATAATAAGGTCTTATTAAGGAGACATTTCGGGTAAAATCAATCTTTCCCTGTAAGTATTATTTAAACAATAAAATGCTTTCTTTGTTTGTTATTACTGGAATGAACGGAAGCAGCTGTTGCAGAAAAAATACATAACCCGCGTAAGCGGGTTATGTTAATTTTTTCTGCAATAGCTGCGACCGTTAATTCCAGTAATAACAAACAAAGAAAGACATTGTATATTGTTTATATTTATATCTGTTTAAATAATCATTTAAAGTTTTAATAAAAAAGGTTAATTATTGTATTAATGATGCAAACGTCTTTATACGTTTCATTGATGGAACAGCCACTGATCAAGAAATCTGTACTGGCGACATGCCAATGTAGTTTATGCAGTGATGAACGCAATGGGTTTTCTTAAGAAATAAAGGAGAAATTATTCAGTGGATGTAAATATTAAATGTTAATGTCTGTACTTGTATTTCACTTTTTATTTTGACACGTATATAAGAATTACATACGCATGGAAATCATATTTGTGAAAATGAAATGGAAAGTGATAAACGATAAGCTAGCAATGCACAATTAAAAAAAAACATAATAAAATTATTACATGTAAGTCAATCGATAACAATGTATTAACAACACACTACAAATACCGTACTACATACATAAATTAATTTACTGGATCAAACATGACCCAGCGATTAGCTGGTTCACGAAGATGAGAAAAAATATCTGTGAGATTGAGGTGTGCGCGAATCTCGCGGATATTTCTCGCTTGCCTGTGAAAATTTATTAACAGCTGAGGATTAATATTCGCGAGTGCTCGCCAAGTTATTAAAAATGTATAGAAAAA